AAATGGCAATCGGGGGATGGGCGATTTTTTTCGGGGAACTGGGTATGCTATTTTTATATCTTAAAGTAACCAAATTAGACGGATATGTTAATTTTTAACCATTTGACCCTTTTTGGAGCGACATTTTTTCAATTTGAATCGCAATATCTCCACAACAAGAGCTTCCTAGATATAAGCTATATACCAGATGAAAGCTAGGGTCTTGGGCTCGACTTGTGGAAACCTAGAATAAAATCGACTGACCAGTTTTTGAGAAAATTCCCGAAATGTATATTTTCAGCAGCCCGATTTTTAGTTTTCAGGCGATAACGTTATGGCATATTTATATTTTATAAGCACAAGAAATAGCGTTAGATAGCTTGTTTGAAGACCCTTCTACTGATGTCCACATCAATGACATGGACTGAGTAGTGTGGCCTCAGTGGTAGTTTAAATAATTGCCTTTTTTCGAATTTCAGGCAGCAGCCACGCCCACAAAGGCATACAAATCAAAACATCCTGGAACAAAACCTTCTTAGTTTTTTTGTTCTTTAATTCCCAAAAGTGTGAAAGAAATTAAATGAAGGTACGTACAGACGCCACATACATATCAAAACAATTCGTAGTGGAGACATGAACCAAAACACATTTACCTCTATATCTTTCCAGCTAGTAGCCGGAGCGTAATATATAAGGTATCGTTTGAAAGGTATTGACCTATAGAATAACACTAAATATGTTGGGTGTTGCCCCTTAAACCGGCAAAAGCCAAAAAACATTTTTTGTTTCGCAACACTTTAGCCTAATTTCTAAGAATCCGGTTAATCGTTTATGAAGCTTGAATACATTTTCTGGACACACTCTGTAAGACCTTTCCAACGATATATCAAACATGTCGATTGGACGTCTGGCTAAAAACTTCGAAATCTCGTGTATATATAAGCGAGTCATTTCAGCATGCTACTGTGGCTGCTTTCGTCACTCGCGCGCACAGCCGTGCGCTGTGATACTATTTCTAGTAAAAGTTCTTATTTATATTTAAATTCCTCTGCCTTTGATTTTTAGTAATTTGATGTGGGGTTCCATAAAATCATCTTAAAAGTTTAAGAACCCCTGGTTTAGGCAAACCAGAAATGGTTTTTCTGAGGTGGGGAGAGAGTTGTCGGGACTGACCGAAAAATGTAAGCATTATGAATATGCGTTTAAGTCTTTTAAATGCTTAGATACCGTATAATCTATGAAGGATATTCGTGTGTCAAAACGCAAGCGTCTCCATAGTCCGCCTAATGAAAGGATAATCGCTCCACGTCAGAGAAATCTTCCTAATGACTTAATTTGCCTCTCTTCGCCATCTCCACAGACATCGGAGTCGCCATCCTCAAAAGAATGCATACGTCTGCTTCCACTTCCAATCCCCCGTTGAAGTTGCGGCATCGCCATCTAATCCTCTAACGCTTACTCTACCCTCAATTAGTAAGTCAGTTACTCAACCCCTCCCGCCGGTAATTGAGTCTAAAACTAGGAGACTGGTTGTGGTTCCCCCAAAGAAATCTATATCGAAGACGATATAAAGTTTTACATCTCGTCCAAGCTTAAAACTATCAACTTAAGTATCAAAAAATTTAATTTTAAATATGAAAGACGTAAATTTAGAAAATTTTGACATGCTGCTTAGTAGTCCTTTTTGGGCTTTCGGAGCTGTCGTTCGTGAATTCGAGTATAGGTACGGTGACCATATTAAGCAACGTAATATAAAGGACATTTCTCCCAATGATTTTGGAATACAAACATATAACCTGTATGATGGGTGTTCAGGGACGGCAACTAGTGTCGCACCTTTTACCATCGTTGATATTTGTCGCACCCTTTATTATCGTTGGGCGAAACGCTACGTCATATCACACACTCTTCGCATCTTCGTTGTCATCACCCCCTCACTCTCTTCGAAGGGAGTTTCAAGCGCACTCTTTCATCGTACCCCCACCTCACTCTTGCGCGTGACATCCACCTTAACATCGAGTTCTATACCAACGCCAAGCAGCGGAACTCACGCCACCTACGACCAACAACAACCACCCAACATAGCAAATAATGTCCCGCTAGCGGCCTGAGTAAAAAAATAATAACTGGTTACCTATGCAAATATGTACATACATAAGTACATGTGTACATATACACGAACATATGTACATATATACGTACGGATATACATACATATAACGCGACTAGAAATTACCTTTTGTACATTCTATGCTAATTCTGTAAAAACAATTACAGTCCATCGTTCGACACGGCCACACGTCTAATCTGGCATATTT